AAACCAGTAAGATGTTTCCCCATCTTAAAGAGTGCCAGTCAAAAAACTATGCCCAGTTCTTATTCTATTTATAATTATCTCCTCCCTCCTATTTATTCCTCTTATTCTTTTAACATCAACTGTATTTTATATATAAATGTCTCCCTTTTGTCTCAGCTCATTTCCCATAATTCCTTGCTTTCTATCCAAACTATCCTTTTGCCTTCAGACTTGGATAACTTTATTGATACATCTTCTTTGTTAACAGCTTCTTTAGCCAACCGATCTGCTCTTTCGTTACCTAAAATACCTAAATGAGCAGGAGTCCACATTATTACTATAGTTTTGTTTTGTTCACATATGATGAACAAACAGAATCTCATACAAGATGTGTTGCTGATTACTTGAACTAACCTTTTCAATGCTTAATAATGTTGATAATGAATCACTGCAAACTATAATTTTACTTGTTCTACCATCCTCCACCCATTCTAAAGCCAATAATATAGCACATAATTCTACTGCCTATATACTCAGATAATTAGGTGTTCTTATTGAAAGCTTAATCTTTAAATCAGGAATCACTGCTGCTGCACTAGTTGCTTCAGTTTTTGGATCTTTTGAACCGTCTGTATAAATTTGCAGATAACCATTAAACTTCTTTTCTACTCGATCATAAAATTCTGGACAAATATCTGTAGTTTTCCTTTTCTTAATATTTAATAACGATCTATCTACATTAATATATTTCCATGTCCATGTAGGCCTTAAGGGCCGTAATACAGTTGGATTAAATTCTTTTATTAAATACTTTAAATGTTCTTGCTCTATTATCCCCAATCCACCCAAAACTATTTAAAGCTCCTTTCCTCTTTCCTAACAATTTTCTTAACTGGATGAGTTTCATTATTTCCAGTAATGAACCATTAACTGTTGTCTTCTAATGCACAATGGCATTTCTCCGGATTCTTCTTGCAGACACCGGAAACAAACTCGGTGGCTTTGAAGAACGCCCCGCCCCCTGATGGTGGGAGACGGTACTGCACCCTGACCGACCCAGAGGTTAAAAAGATTAAACTTAAAACTGGGCATTTAGCTGTGGGACAAACTGAAGGATACATAATAAATATAATAAGTGATTAAAAACATTTTTAAATTAATACATTTATATGAATAGACGCATATAGACTGAAGTGTTCTGGATAAAAGACGAAAGGTTTCAAAGAGCCCGTCCAGAGGTCCGGACTCAACCTGGTTAGGTTCTGTAAATATAATATACAAATAGTTTGGAAAGTTAAAAGATGATGTAAGATTATTTAAAAATAAGCACCTAGAATCTAAATGCCATAAAAAATAATTTATATACAAAGCGATCTTCACCTTTATAATTTATTCCATTTCTCTTCTTCATTGCCCTTTGATGTTGTTTTATAACATGTAACTTTATTGTTCCTATTTATGTTTTATTTAAGCGGACGGCTGTTTTTGCTGAGACCTCATAAATTAATCTTTTACTGGTTCGTCAGAGAATAAACCAAAAATGCTTCAGGTCTGTTGGATCTTCTCGCTGCTGTTGCAATAAAACGTTTTTCTGTTGGGAATAATATTTTATGAGATAAAACTTCATTCGTCCCAACATTTGACAGCACATTAAATTTACATTGTAGATAAAATAAAGAGATGTGTAGAAAATGAATGCACTTACTCTGCAGATACGGCACCATTCTCCTCACCTCAGATTTCAGAGGACCCCCCAGGACAAAGTATTCCTGATGGGTTTGTCCACCTTCATCCCGACAGCTGCTGTAATGCCCCCACCCCACACTGTAGAAAATGACTGATGCTACTACAGTTATAAAGTTCCCCCTGGACTCCAGAGGATCCAAACCTGGGCAGGCCCTGGCCTTTCTTTTAAACCACATCATGAGTCCGATCCAGTTGGATGTTCAGGTGAACCCCCAGATACTTGGAAGATGTCACCATCTCAATGTCTCCTGGATGCTTGCAGGCGTTGGTAGAAAGTGTCCGTCTGCCAAAATCCACCACCGGTTCTTTGGCGTTTCCCGTGATGATCTGGAGATGGTTCTGTTGACACCAGCTCAGTAAGTTCCTCTGTTGTCCCAGTCTGTGGTGAGGCCAACAAGCAGAGTCATAAGTGAGAGAAGGCTGAAGAACAGAAATGGGCCCAGAACCATTCCCTGTGGGATGCCTGTGCTGCTTAAGAGTCTCCAACACACAGGTCCTTGTCCTCACATCCTGCGGACGCTTTGGGAGGTATCTCAAGCTCCAACTGGTGAGGTGACCATCTGCAGCGAAGGCACCAGATAATGAACCATTTATCAACCAGTTCAAAAAGGATTCTGTCGGTTTCTTTATTTCATTTTATTTGTGTCCAAGATACAACCGGGAATAATGCCGTGTTTAAAACTCGATTTCTTTTTGTGCACATATATAATTTCATGAGATAAATTATTTTTAAAAAGCACGTATTTCCAGCGTTTTCAAGTACATCCGTTTTATTTATGCTGTTAAATACTGATCTGCAAAGGACAGGAGAGCACTTATCCTCAGAAACAAACTAAAAACCTCGGATGTGTGTTCAGAAAACAAGAAAAATAAAACAACAAACATGCCGGTAGTTGTTGGAGAGATAACACTTTTCCCTTTTACTCCATAAACATTTGAACTAAAAGAAAGAAGAACTTAAGGAGCACCTTCCCTAAATCCGTTCTTCAGAAACGGATTAAAAGATCCATCCAAAGAGTCTGAAGCTGCCTCGTTCTTTGAGGTAAAAGCTGAAGTTTAGCTTCGTTTTGGGATAAAAAGATTCAGTTTGTTCGATTTAAAACCTAAAAATCCTTCGGCTGCTTCTGCTGGGATAGTTTTCCACTCAAGTTCTCAGTTTCTGACAGATTCAGTTTTATTTTCACCAAACGGCTCGCGTCAGAAAGCGAGTGGACATTTGAGGAGGCGCCTCGCAGACGTGCAGCACTCGGTGGACGCGTGATCGTAAAACACAAAACTTTGAGGCTAATCACAGAAAAACCTCCAGGAAACAAGAAAAAAGACACGTCGGTTGATTTGGCTCTTCAGCTTAAAGCAACTAAACATGAAAATCTTAAACGTGGAGGAACGGCCAACGTCACTCGGTTCAGACCAGACTAAGAAAAACTGACTTCACGTTTGCTGTCGGTCGAGCTCGGCGACATAACAAGGCAGAAACGATCCAAAATAAAAAGGCTAAAACACAGAGACGTTTAGGCACAGCCGAAGTGACACCAGAATAACTACAAACAGCATGTGCTTCGGTAAAATCCCAATAAAAGACACAAAAAAGTCTCGAAGTCGATAAAAAGTGTCTTAGTGCAGAACCACCCCCCGCCTGTAGGGGCAGGCTACCAGAACCGAGTCCATGTTTCAGGAGACAAGCTCGCGCAGTTTGAAAAACGTTTCTAAGTTCTGTCGTTGCAAACGGAGTCATCGCCGGTTTCAGAGCGCCAAAGATTTTAAAAAATTTTAAACATGCAATTCTTGCCAAATATTGGTCCAAATTTTTCCAGAAATTCAAGCTAACCGATTCCAAGACAAAAAAATCAGGGACCAGTTTGTCCCCAACCGTCTCAGCCCGTCGAGAGTCCACCCTAAAACCCGAGCAGTCGACTCCACACGTTCAAAACGTTCGGCTGCGTTGGAGCCTCGAGCTTTCAATGAGGAAAACACTTTCACTCGTTCCCAAGCGGACATTTCTCTAACGAGCGGTGCGGGCGGGGCACACAGTCCCACCTGTCCACCTCTTTGTGCCTCTGAAAGGAAAAGCTGTAAAAACATTTTATATCCTTCGTTTTAAACTTCTAACTTGTGCTGAAGAACAGAAGCTGTAAATGGTTTTGATAACATTGAACAGAAAAACGAGCTAAACTTGGCCCAGCTACACGTTTTCGTCTGGACATGTTAAAGTGGACGTCTCCACCACCTACTGGTGGGTTTAAGTATTACACTAATTTGTTAAAATTGTTTGGCTTCATTAAAAAAAAGGCTGTGTTCATAGGAATCATCTCCTTTGGCTGCGACTGTTGGAAACGAGCAACCGGTTCTAGAAAATCCAGTCTTGTTTGTCCAAACCAGTACCCCAGATTATTTTGTCGCTCGGCTCAACATCTTACCCACCTGAACAACATTATGATATAATCTGCAGGAGAACCCCTCGGACCAGTTCTTTAACCTTTATTACTGGTCAGATGTTAGACCTGGACATTTGGCCTCGAGGTCTCCTGTCAGAAAGAAGCTCCTGTGCAGGACTCAAAATACAGGTCTGGACCTCTGAAACTGAAGTGAGAAGCGTTTGAGATGTCCCCAACAACCCTGAGACAATCTGACAACGAAACCTGTCTGGAGAACCCTCGAAATTATCTGGAGACACTTTGGAGACTGAAGAACGTCACCGAGTCGCAGCGAGGTCCTGGTGTAGCCAACAACAGTTTTGTTCTCCACACGTCATCGTTTTATTTGCTAGTTCTGCTCTCGAGTGCTGGTGGTGACGCAGCCATCATTAAAACGGACGTGAAACCTCAAAGAAGCAGATTTTTGTTCCGTCAGGACTTTTTCGCTCCGCTTCAGGAACGAAGACGTCAGAAACCGAACACCAAGCTGAAGGAGCAGCAGGCGGCATCACAGTGGCTACGTCCAGGTCTTTCAAACCGTCTGTGGTCTGGACCCTGACTCGGGTACCCTGGTGCGCCACAAACTCCCAACACTTTGACTAACTAAAAATAAAAAGACAGCCGTAAGATTCAATCCTTCTGTGGCTGGAAATGAAAAACTCTAGAAAAGAATTGCTAGTTGCATCAACCGTTGACAGGATTTAAAAACCTCATGCGTCCGCCGCCTCCGAGGATACACCAAACGAGTCCCACATTCAGGACCGCCCGCAGAAGAAAGGGGTTATGACGAGCTCAGATATAAAGAATAAAAGTTATCAGGCATCAGAATGTCTAAACACGGCCCCCCACCCCCAGAGTCCATCATGACACAGGGGACAGGGAGACGTGAGCCGACGGGGAGGGGATGGTGGTGGAGAGGTTATAGGTCGAGTTTGGTGACGACGCCGGCGACGCCAGGGGGCTGTAGACGGGCATGGATGAAGAAGGGGACTGTGGCGCAGCCGCTGTCGGGGAGTCTGAGCTGACCTCGTCCCCTTCTTCAGAGTCCCACACTTCGCTCTGCAGATAGTCAGCGAACAGGGCCTTGGCCCTCTGCAGGACTCTGCTGAGGTTGTGGCGCCGAACGAGACGGTCAAAGTGCATGGCTATCTCGTTGTAGTCCAGGCTGTTCTTGATGATGTGGTCCCGGTGCTCCAGCAGGATGGACAGGCACAGGAACAGCATGAAGGGGTTGCCTTTGCCGAACTCCTGAGGCGGCGGTAAGGAACATGGTTTGATGCTGGCGTTTAGTGAGGTGGCTCTGGTACCGACTGGGGATTTGATGCTGAGCGAGGACTGGCTGTGAGCCGACGACCGGCTGAAGGACAGAACGGGTGAAGACAGCAGGGAACTGCTCGGGACGTGAGACGGAGATCTGGTCCCCGTGGTGCTCAGCACCTGGGTTGGAGAAGTCAGTACCTTTGGGGCAGTTCTTGATAAGGCCTCGCTTTCTTTGCTTGTGGACGGGGATTTCGGAGGAGAGCCTGGAGAAGCTCCTGGCCAGTTGGAGTTTGAGACTGAAGACGTGGGAAAGCTGGAGGAACCAGTTTTCCAGGCTGGTAGGCCACCAGGGAGGAGAGAGCGTGACGACACCGGAGATAAGCCGCTGTCACAGTTTTTAATGAGAGGCGTTTGTTCTCCCGGGTCGTCCTCACTGTCCATTGTGGACTGGCGCCTTGAGCTGTTTGGACCGTAGGGTCTGTCAGCACCCTCCATGTCAAAGCCGTCTTCATTCCGGGCTGTGTAGTATTTAAACTCTCCAAAACTTGTTTGTCTTTGACAGCACCGCTGAGCCGACTTCTCCGTCGTCTCTTGAGTGCGGTCACATTCGACACCGCCCTTTTCCCTTCCAGAACCCACATCCTGGTGGTCTTTCTCGTCAGGGATAAAGTTCCTGCTCAGATCTGGTTCCTCTCTCGATGGTCTCAGCATATGTCGTCTCCGCTGCTTTTCTTCTTGCACCTCTTCGTCTTTGAGGCTGTTCTCAACCTCCCCATCTCCGCACGACGTTGCTTCAACTGCCTCCGACGGCGGCCCCAGAAGCTCCACTTCAGTTTCCGGAGGATCAGGGGGCAGAGAGCTCCAGGTGACCTCCAGCATCCTCAGAGCGTCATCGAACGCAAACTCTCGCTTGAGCTCCAGCAGGAGCCAGCGGTAGCAAAAGAAGAGGTCGTCGGCCCCTCGGGACACCAGGTAGGCGTAGAACTCTGGGTCCGAGTACTGCAGGAGCAGCTTTAGGTGCTGGAACTTAACGGACATGAGCTGCCCGTCCTGTCGGAAGTTTCCCTCCAGGCGTTTCATGATGCCACAAAAACAAATGTAGGTGTGAGCCTCGTTGTCCATAACTGCTAGTATAGGCGAGGCGATGTCGCTCATCCCCTGACAGTAAGAAATCTGAAAAACATCAAAGACAAACAGGAAGTTCAAAAACATCTAAAGGGCCAAACACTAAACCAAACACAGAGAGTGTTTGATGGATGAAGAGCCGTTCAAACACCTGAACCCACCTGAGGATGCGTGATGGCGAACGTGGTGAGCAGGTCCGTCAGGGCGGTCAGGTGCGGACTGTCCTCCGAGCCCGCGTAGTACGGATGAGCTCGGTCCGTCCTCAGGACGTCTTTGAGAACGTTGCCACGGATAAAGTCCAGCTCCTCGTGGCTGACCCGGGCCGTCCACTCCCTCTTCAGCTGCTCGTACTCCTTCGTCTTCCTCTTCATGTAGTCCATGCGCTCCTGTCCGCTCAGTCCGTCAGGATAAACGTTCAGGAGGTATCGCCACACCACCTGACAAACCAACACAAGTTAACATCTACAACCTCACAACGCCGTCAGTAAAAGATGGAGGCAGACCTTTCTGAGGGACGGCTCCACGCCGCCATGGTAGATCCTCAGTCTGAGGTCTTCGGGTCGGGTCAGCTGGCCCTGTCCGTTCAGGTAGCTGTGGAACTCAGAGTCGCTCAGCGGAGGCTTGAAGGGTTTGATGTCCTCCGCGTAAGACCAGGTGAAGACCTGCTGGACTCGAGACAGGGTCCGTCCCACCTGAATATGAGCAAACAGTTCCATTGTGACTTTTGGTAGCGGTGCGTCGTACGACAAACGCCATTTACTCAAAATGAGTGTTAAAACCCGGTCCTGTTTGGATCTCCAGCTCAGACTTCACATCAGAACCACGGGTCAGAGTTGAAACGGGTCACAAAGAGCTGGACTTTCTAGGACTGAACTGCTGTTTTTACATCTTTAACACTTTTAACACGAGCGCAGGTCAACGTGGACTTTTGTTCTTGCACCGACCCCAGGAACCCGTTCTGTGCACAAGCTGCTGGCAGAACTTTGTCCTCACTGCGGAAAATTGCGTGAATGGTCAGAACTTTGTGGGGGTGTTTATGAAAAAACAAACTTCTCTCATTTCAACTGCTCTTCTGAGGAGCACCTGGCCGAGGCCGTCAGAAAACACAGCATCTGTTCCAGTAAAACCATCCATCATCTTTACCCGCTTATTCCATTTTGGGTCACGGGGGTCGCTGGTGCCCATATCCAGCAATCACTGTGCGAGGGGCGGGGGACACCCTGGACGGGTAGCAAGTCCATCACAGGGACACATAGAGACAAACAACCATTCACTCTCTCTCTCACACCTAGGGACAATTCAGAGTTACCATCAGTCTAACATGCATGTTTTTGGTCTGTGAGAGGAAACTGGAGTACCCGGAGAAAACCTACGCAGCACGGAGAGAACATGCAAACTCCACCCAGGAAGGTCCAAGACCAGGATTTGAACCAGGGCAACCTGCTCGCTGAGAGGCAACAGCTCTACCAACTGCTCCACCGTGCTGCTCCAGCAAAAGAGTCAAATAGAACTTATGAAGACGGTCAAAGAACTCATGGAAGATCTTTCTGGAGCCGTGGTGTCCATAAGGACTGAAAACTAACACGTGTGCGGCTCGATGGAGTAGGGACTTGTTCCCACGCCGTCTGTCAGAAAAGGGGGCGATTGTTTGGTGACAAATTTGTTGATCAGAACTTCCGTTAGCAACAGGTCTTCCTCTTTCAACTGCTCTACCAACTCCAGAAACGTGAACCAACCAGGGACCCGTGAACTCACCTGGGACAGTAAGGTCTGGGTGAAGGGAAGTGCTGCAGAAGCCAGAGACTTGGTCCGTTCTGCAAGGAGCAGCTCAGAACCGATCACATCTTTGGGGCTTATGATGTCCCAGTCCTCCATAACTGGACCTGCACGAAGACAAAGAGAACCTGGTGAACCTCGAGTCTGGACCCCCTACCTGCCAGGCGTTATTAGCTTACAGGACGGCAGTCTTACTCTCCTCGGAGGGTTTCACGTCCATCTTGAGCTGCAGAAAAGGTTTGGCTGCACTCATGAAGGCCACATCCAGATCCCAGTCCGACAGCAGGGACAGGTACGTCTCCACGCCGCTCCGATCCCGGGACAGGTAGCTCACGTTGAAGTTACGCTTCCTGGATTCAGAACAGACGCTGTGAGTCGCTCAGATAAACTCAGTGAATTAAAGGGATCGGTGCCGGTGAGCGCTCGTACCCGTTCAGCTCGAAGGCCCTGATGAGGATGTGCTGCAGAACCTCCAGCGATGTAATCTGAGGGTCCACAGCGAAGGAGCGAAACTCCACAGGAAGAGCTCCGTCACACTTCTGGAAGAAACCAGAAGTTTCCATCCACGGGTTTAAAACACCAGAACCAGTTTTTACTTCCAGCCCGGCATGAAATCAGACGAAACCTTTCCTGTTTCAGGTCCGTTGGATTCAACAAATTATTTATTTTTGCTAAATGCCTGAAAAACTCATTACTTTCTTTAAAGTAACAAGTTGCCATCAGTGTTGTTCATGTTTGGCAACGCTGCCTTTAAACTGTCCAACTTGGGACAAACATTTTGGATTTCTTTCCACAAACGCGTCACAACAGTCTGTTGGACTTTCGTCCCGGTCCTCCTGACAGAACCGGTCGAACCGAGTCAGGTTTGTTGACTTTCAGCTCTGCCCACAGATCTTCTGCAGGACTGAGACCGGGACTTTGTGACAGAATTATAAAACACAGAGTTCATCGTCCTTCAGCCACTTTGGAACTAATTTGTCCATATGTTGAGAGACATTGTCCATTTGAAGACCTACTTGTGTCCAAGCTTCCCTCCTGCAGTAAAACACATCATGATTCTGCCACCCCCGTACTTCACAGGAGAAATGATGCTCTCTCTCCTCCTGGTCCAACAGTCGTTTTAGTGTCATCAGACCACAGGACATGTCTCCAAACATTACGGTGTTTGTCCCTGTGGGGACAAACTGTAATCTGTCTTTTTGACGTTACTTTGGGGGTGATGTCTTCGTCCTCTCAGTCCATGCTGGACTTGTTTCAGCAGCATCTTCATCAGATCTGTAGCTAAATGTAGCCGAGCTCAAACAGGTAAGGTTTATTACTGTCAAACCGTGTATGTCAACATCTGCTCTACCTTTAAACTTCAAAAACCAGGAAGCATTTAATAAATTTATATTTATTTTACTCTCATTTCAACACGTGTCGTTCTGTCGTTCAGTGTTAATGATTGTTTGTTTCTAAGTCTAATTAAATAAAGCACCAAAGCAGCAGCACATCTGCCAACAAAACAGGCAGGTAACGTTTGACGTCACGACCGGTCGTCGCGCGTGCACGCACGTGCACGGAGCGGGGTGGTGACGTCACCCGCAGCCTCAGAGAAACTGCTTTGACTTGGATGGAGAGAAAACTGTGGAAGAGTCGGGTTCAAGCTGCAGACTCATCGATCGGAAGAAGTGATCGATCAGAACCCACAGCGCGCTCCCGTTACAACAACAAAACAAACAAAAACAAAGCTGGAGGTAAACAACGGGAGCTCTCCCGGATTCAGCTTTCACGAACAGAAACGGAGCCTGAACCGGAGGGAAACGGCGCCGTTAACCGACAACAGCGGCCGGTAAACACACATCCTACCTTGACTTTGACCCGAACCACCCCCCTCTCCTCCTCGCCTGCCATCATAGAGTCCGTCTGGGATCAGAGGAGTCCCTTTTGTTTCCTCCTACATCGGTTCGGTCATGATAGAGCTAACAGAGGAGCTCCGCTGCTTCTTCTTCTGCGCTCATCCTCACCGGAAGTGGAAACACCGC